CTGCCTGCGCCAAAGGCTAACTGCCTCCTAGAGGCTTGGTGACATGAGGGACAGGCCCTGCTTCTGAGAGGGGGCCCTGCAGGCCCTGGCGCGGTAACGTGGAGCAGCCAGCAGGGTCTTTTGCTAAGCAGGAGGACCCAGCTCTGCTGCCCTACTTCTATGGTGAGTTGGTTTCTGAGGACACACCTCGTCTCTCCCCCTCCTGTAACTCCTCACCCTTTGAGTCCCCGTGGAAGCACTGAGGCCCTCGTCCTTTGTGAGGAGCTGCCTGAACTGGGCAGAACTGTGGCCTCCCTGGGAGCGGAATCCAAACAGTCTTCAGAGACTGTCCAGGAACTCGGGGCTGAGGACCCCTCAGCCTCAAGGGTGGCAAAGGCAGTGCGGCCACTTTCGCGCCTGCTCAGCGCGCCTGCCTTGGGTGGCCCAGGTGCCGGGGAATATCGCGGCATGGCGCTTGCTTCCCTCCCAGGCTGGCTCAGGCTCTGCCACTAGGTGGGGGCACTTGCTTACTGTCCCCCACTTCTTCACAGCTGGCCAAGTACTGGGAAGCCTTCCTTCCTGAGGCAAAGGCCATCTCCTAATGGACCAAGGACTCCAGAGGCCACCTGCGTGACGCTGCCTTTTTATACACTGTCCTCCTCCACCTCCATGGACCCAGGATGCCTCCTGCCTAGGCCGGACTTACCCCTGCCTCCTGCCCACGGCCCAGCTAGTCCCTGCTACTCTAACCTAACTTCATTTAGCTTCTACATATATTTTCTTACCTAAGAGAATAGTTTCCTGCTTTAAGCAAAGGACCTATAATAGGTGGTGGAATTATGGGGTAGGGGTGGAGTATTCATATAAATATATAAATACAAATGTATATTTTTCAGGATGTGGCTTAGGAACTGGGAATAACGTTTTCTGTTACTCCTGATGGTGCCATGAAAAGATTATGTAATAAAATATTTTAAAATCAGGTCACATGACTCAGAATGGTGGTGCTTTTTGCCGTAGGCCGGGGAGCAGCTGGGAAGCAGGTCCGAAATGCTCTAACTAAGTAGGTGCCCAGGGATAGTGACCAGTTTCTCTCCAGGAGTTCACGAGGTTTTCTGCTGCTTCTCTGTGGACCTGGGTTTCTTTTTTCTCTACCTACCTCGGCTACGTGTCCTGAGGGTCTCTCCGCCTGTTTCCTTCTCACTCCTGTTTCTCCAGGGCAGGAGTTTTAAAGACATCTCTTACAGTAAGAGGGGCAAAGCCTATTCTCCTGCAAAGGAGGCAGACTTCTCCGTATCCCCACCCTGTTTCCTTGAGTTTCCCGGGGCTCTGAATCTCGCCTTGTGATAGCAAGTCCTGGATTCTAACTCACTTTGCCACGTGCTCAAGAGACTGTGGATGTCTAGGTGTGAAGGACTAATAGATACTAATAAGTATCCGCATAGATACTAGAGCCAGGCGCCCAGCTGGCTGGGGTAGTCCGAGAGCTCCCACTCCTTGGCTGCTTAAAGCCCCATCACTGTGCGTTCAGGAAGGAGTGTGCGCACGGAGTCCCCGCGTGTCATAAGTGCAAGCCAAGGTGTTCAGACAAGTCCCTGCTGCTCTGGCCAGGGCAGGTGGCCCCTCAGCTATGTCCACAGCCACACAGACTGCACAGGTCAGAGTGGACATGGGCTCCTTTGGGAGTGTGAGCCGGCTCACTACCTCCATGGCACCTTCACCCCCCAGACAAGCCAGCTGCAGGGGCTGCAGGACTGCTCCCTGTTGGCTGTCTTTAGAGTGCCCTGAGCCTTGAAGAGGAGCAGCCTGAAGCCAGAGGACGCAGAATACAGACTTATTTCCCTGCACTCGGACCCGAACCCATACTGGGAAGTGCAGGTGATGGAGTATTTTTTTCAACAGGTTTTCAGAAAAAGGTCGCTCGGTCTCTCCCTGCCCCCCGCCCCGTTTCCTTATTGTCACCTTTGACCCTAACCTTCCATTCTATTTTAAATGCCTGCTTTGACACAGCTGTAATAATCTACACATGAAACATTTTGTGTCCTGCTTTTGTCACTCAGTGTTGTGTGTGTTACCAGCATTTTTTCTATATTGTTACAGATCTTCATAAACCTTATTTCTAAGGCTATATACTTTTAAGGGTTCCGTAGAGTGACTGTACCATAATTTTGATTCATCCCTTGCTGGATTCCTGATTTGGGTATTTTTTTTTCCTTCGGTAACTTAGTATGAACTCTAATATAATTACAAATGTACAGAGAAGTTGCAGGAACTCCCAGGGAACCCCCATACATCCTTTACCCAGATTTACCGGGTGTCCACATTTTATCCCTTTGCTTTGCTTTATCGACACTCGCATGTTGTATTTTCTGAATCTGAGAGTACATTGCAAACCATGCACCCCGTTACCTCGGGGACTTCAGCACACGCTTCCTTAAGAACAAGGACCTTCTCTTAGACATGGCAGTACAGTCGTCAGGTATCCAGATCAGGAGGCCTGGTGCTGATGCAGTACTGTTATCTGACCCTGGTCCGTGGTAAGTTCTGTTGTTTGTCCTTCAATGTCCTTCACAGCAGCCCGCTTGCTCTCTGGTGGGCTGTGTCCTACACTGACCTGTAACAGGATTGCTCGTGTCTCTCTCAGCTGCTCTGGCTCCCGTGCTGGCTCAGGAGCACACGGCTAGCCGTTGGTAGGATCCCCTCACATCTACATTAGGCCTTTGCGTTCTGGGCAGGAACAACATAGAAATGTGTCCTCAGTGCGTCCGAGCTCAGCTGGTGGTGTCCGCTGGGCCTGTGTATGTTGGGGTGAACTCTCACCACTTGGTCAGGTTGATGGCTGCTGGGTTCATTTAATTGTTAAATTTACTAGTTTCCCTTGTGTAATTTTTTTAAAGAAATACTTTATTTCATTTATTATCATCATTATTATTTAAGTTGACTGGAGAGAGAGAGGGAGAAAGGGAAAGTAGGAAAGTAAGCCTCCAGGTCTGAGCTCGAACCATGGTCGGCCATGTGGGAGTCCAGCGCCTTAACCACCATGCCACCTGCCGGCCCCTCCCCTGTGTACGTAACCTGTGGGGAGGCGCTTTGAGAGCCTGTTCCTTATCCACTAGTTAAAGCATCGGTGGATGGCTGGCCTTGCCTGAATTGGGTTTTGCTGTGCTGCCTGCCCACGTGGTTTTCTAAGTCCATGACGCCATCTCGGGTATTGGTCGGCGCTCTTCTGAAGAAAAGCGTCCCTTTAGTTGCCAGCGATTGCTTTGGTTTGATTTTGATTCTCAAACTGCCCCCGGTTTATAGCAGGCTCCTATGCCTTTTCAACGTGTCCCCATCGTTTCTTGAACACTTCCGTACTTTCTAGCATAAAAAGGCATCCCGGGCTCTCCTTGACTCCTTTTCATGGAGGACCATCTTTAGAGACCCAGACCTCGGTGCTGAGCACTCGTTGCTACTGGAGCGTCACTGCTTAGAGGCTGTCCGCAGGCCCAGCAAGGAAATATAGAGACGTGGAAATGCTAAGAGACAGGTCACATAAATAGATATTAAAAATCATGAACTTGAGGCCAGAAGGTGGCTAAGGTGGTTAAGGTGCAGGATCGCACATAGCCAACCACAGTTCAGGTCCGGGATCTGGTCGTGGCTCGAAAATCAACCCTGGGCATGTGTGAGAGAATGGAGGGAAGAGACTGTGAGGTGGCCACCCCGCGGCAGCGACTTCCCACTTTTCCTCTTTCTGTCTGTGTCGTTCAACAGCAAGCGGATGCGCCCTATGGCAAAAACCTTTTAAAAAAACAACTTCACACTGATATTCTAGCCCTGTGTTTGTTCTAGCCTGACCCTTATTTCATGTTTGTAACTAACTCTTTTCTCCAGAGACTTAACTTTTTATAAAGAATTTATTTAATTTTATTTATTCATTCCTTTATTTTAATTTGACCAGAGAGAGAGAGAGAGAAAGTGAGAAAGTAAGCCACCAGGTTTGGGACTTGAACTGTGGTCTGCCATGTGGAAGATGTGGAAGTGTCCAGCCCCTTAACCACCACGCCACCTGCTAGTCCCCAAGAGATTTAATTTTTAACATTTCTTGCTTTGTTAAGTTATATCTAGTGATCATCTGGATACTGTCAATTCCTTTTATTATTTTTTTTAGAGAAAGATTTTTCCTATTAGGGCACGTGTGCTTGCCAGACAGACAGACAGCAAGAACTCACCCCCCAGGAGGGATAGCTATGCTGCAATTCCTTCTCCATTGTCCTCTCGGGGTTTTAGGCATACACACACATGCTGAACATGAGTTTCAAGCCACTGGGTCCAGGACTCGAACCATGATCACCTATGTGGGAGTCCAGCACTTTAACCAGTACTCCACCTGCTGGCCCCAGCAACTCTGTTTTTGTTATTTCCTTGGGACAGGCTCTTCTGGTTTCACAACTGCCTTCTCAGACTCCGGTCTTCAGGGCTCATGCATGTCTGTGCAGAGCTCACAGACATGGAAATCGAGGAGGCCAGTGGTAGATGGGGAGGGGGAGTACTGAGCCAGAAGCCTCTACCTGTGGAATCAGGCGAGAGAAAGGTGTGGAGAGTGACGCTGGCTTTTACAAAAGAACTGCCTTGGGACCAGCAGATGGCATAATGGTTACATCATTGGACTCCCACGTAGTTGACCATGGTTCGAGTCCCAGACCCAGTAGCTAAAAACACGCCAGGCGCATATGCATGCATGCCCAAAATCCCAAGAAGAGAAGGGATTATGGCATGGCAATCACAGGGTGGGGGGAGTGTGATTTCTCCCTTTCTGCTCCCTTTCTGTCTCTTTGGCAAATGCATGCACCTGGTAGCAAAAATCTCTCTAAAACAAAAGAAAAGAACTGTGCCTTAAAGATGAAGAGGTTTTTGTTCCT